CACCCGCAGGAATCAGGGCCTCACCGCTGTGACAGGTTCATCTCCTTGGCCACCCGCTGGGACATGGCCACGGCGGCAACTCGGCGGGGTTCTGTGACACCGATGATGCTGTCCTCGCTGGGGAAGAAGACACATTAGCCATGCCTGTCTGTCTGGAGTCACCCACACTCCAGGGTCTCTAGTCACTGAAGAGGAGACCCACAGCACAGGGTACAAACACCGCCCAGGGTTAGCACAGCCACACAACAGCCAGGAGGCCGACCACACTTCACAGCACCGATGGAGACCCAGCAGGACCCGGTACATGGCTGGGCCACGTCTCTAAGGGACACTGTGAGGATGAGGAAGTTCACTGCTGCGTGGCATTCCTGAACAGATGCGGTACATGTGTGAACCGCGAAATCCAGAGGAAGCCTGAGTTCAGATAACAAGCACGACAAACACACCCTGTGATGCTGACGGAGTGGAGGCCCAGCTGAAGGGAATACTAGAATTCCGCATCACCTTGGCAACTTTCCTGCCAACTGCATTAACTTCGTAGTGAGTTGAGGTCGGTGGCGGGGTACAGAAAACCACACGGAGTGTACAGAACCGGGCAAGAAAAGATTCCACGTGCACAGACTGCATAATGCACTTGTGAGAGGATTCCCCTCAACTTGGGTGGCTCACGCGGACCGCACTCTTAGAGGAGTCTGGCCCTCTGACCATCCTACACACTAACCGCTCTGCTCAATGCCATGTGCCAAGGGGACACGCCACAGTGGTGAGCGTGAGTTACTAGAACAGTGACCTGACACACAGTGGTCCCAAGAGGCTCACGGGGTGCCACAGTAACACTAGGAAACACATTACTCCATGTGGCCACTGAGTTTAGTGTCGCCACCCCGATTTCACAGGTGACAATGGGCCCGGAGAGGCTGGCAATCTGTCTCAAGTCACGCAGCAGAGCCAGGATCGTGTCTACTGGAGCCCAGGCCCTCAGCGGTTTCTGGAACCTAAGTGTCCACTGTCCCCAGGGAGTAGAGGGACACCCCTGGCCCAGCCCCACCTGCTGTAGCCTGCTTCGTAGAGAAACTGGGGCACCTGTGTCGTCTTCCCGCTGCCGGTCTCGCCACACACAATGACGATGGGGTGCTCCGCCACCGCCTCCATGATGGCTTGCTCTTCAGCTAGGATCGGGAGTTTGAGCCGCTCTTCCTGGGGGAGAAGTCAGAACTAGAGGGAGGGGCTGCAGAGCAGCAGACGAGAGGGTACCCCACTCACACTCAGGTCCTGCATGGTGCAGTGTCTAAAACGGACAGCCAGGGGCCAAAGAGATGGCTGGGTGGTTAAGAGCACTGGCTGCTCTTGCAGAGGACCTGGGTTCGATTTCCGGCAATCCCTTGGCAGCTCACAACCATCATCTATAAGTCCAGTCCCAGGGGAGCCAATGCCCTCATCTGACCTCTGCAGGGACATATGTGGTGTATATACATACAATCACACAAAACATATAAAATAAAATTTAAAAATTGTCTTTTTAATCAATTAAAATAGCCTGGTGTTGGTTGAGCATGCATCTCCCTCTCTTTTTTTTTTTTTTTTTTTTTTTGAGACAGGGTTTCTCTGTGTAGCTTTGGAGCCTGTCCTGGAACTCAACCTGTAGACCAGGCTGGCCTCGAACTCACACCTTTAATCCCAGCACTCAGGAGGCAGAGGCAGGCCGATCTCTGTGAGTTCGAGGCCAGCCTGGTCTACAGAGCGAGTTCCAGGATGGTCAGGGTTATCACATAGAGAAACCCTGTGTCGAACGCCCCCCAAAATAAAAAATTCAATGAATTAAAATAAAAGGCAGAGCTAGCTGGTACGGAATGGCTGGGGAGAAGCAACAGCCTGGGCCCTAGAAACACTGCTCTACCCGGAGCCCCACACAGCAGGCATGACCATGTCCCCGTTCCTAGAAGTAGACAGAGGCTCCTCTCCACCAAGATATCCCACCACCCCGTGTCTCTACCCACAATGAGAAGAACACACCTGTATTTCAGGGGCGCGGTTCACAGGGATGAAGACGGCAGGCTTGGCCAGGGGTGGAGGTGGAGCAGAGGCTGGCGACTTTGAAGGTGCGGAGGCCGCAGACGGAGGGGGTGCAGGGGTGGGGGCAGGGCTCTGGGCCCCAGAAGGAGCTGGTGGCAGACGTGCTGCGTTTGTCTCTGTGCTGCCCCCAGGGTGGCCAGCTGTGGCCTCATCAGACTCCGAATCCCCTGAAGACTCAGATTCTTCCTCTGGTGACGAAGACCTGCGGCGCTTCCGGTGGGCCCCACCAAGGCTACTGACTTTCTCCTGGCCTTGGGTTGCTGGCTGGTCAGGCTTCCTCCTGGGAGAGCAGGCTTCAGTCAGGGACCTCAGGACGTCTGACATGGCTAGGGTCAGAGGCCACACCCCATCGACCCCAGGCCCTTTGCTCAGGCCGTTCCCACTCTGCAGGTTGTCACACTCGCGTGTCTGCTCAGTCACCTACCAAGGAGACTGTGTGTCACTGGGCTCAGTCCCAGACGCCAGTCCCTTTCCTAAATGCTCCCCTGTCTCTGCCTTACCTTGTGGCTCAGTTTGCTGGTGCAGCGTATTTGAGTATTTGACTAACGCACACTCGTGTCTTCCAGAGGGGTGGGAGTATTTTGCTCCTTGTTCTACCTCAGGTCCCGTGAGGCTGGGGCAGTGTTCTGAACAGAGCAGCTGTGGGGTGCTGTGGATACGGCTCAGTATGCCGTGAATGTGTTGCTCTGATCGATTCATAAATAAAACGCTGATTGGCCAGTAGCCAGGCAGGAAGTATAGTATAGACGGGACAGGAGAGAGGAGAATTCTGGGAAGTGGAAGGCTGAGTCAGGAGGTGTTGCCAGCCACCGCCATGAGAAATAAGATGTAAAGTACCGGTAAGCCACAAGCCACATGGCAACTTATAGATGAATAGAAATGGGTTAATTTAAGATATAAGAACTAGATAGCAAGAAGCCTGCCACAGCCATACAGTTTATAAGTAATATAAGTCTCTGTGTGTTTACTTGGGTCTGAGTGGCTGCGGGCCCCAGCGGGACTGGAGAAAACTCCAGCTACAGTGGTGTGTGTGTGTGTGTGTGTGTGTGTGTGTGTGTGTGTGTGTGTGTATTTATGCATGCATGTTGGTCTGGGGTGTGCTGCCCTGCAGGAATGCCAGCTTGGGGTGGCCCCCTGGTTGTAATGGTCAAGCGCAGGTGGGAAGTGGGCTTTTCATGTGAAGCCTCTGAATTCTTGATGTCACCTATGCAGAGCTGAGCGGTGACCACAGAGCACCTCAAGAGAACCTCATGGGAAGTGGGGCCTTTGAGGTACAGGATTAAGGTCATGACTGGTGAGAAAATATGACCTACTTGGGACACATAAGATGCCAGGCAGGTGCACAGCCTTTGCCAGAGGAGCATTCAGTGTGTACAACCCTCCACCCACCCCCACCCACCCATGCAAGGCGCCAGGAGCTGTGAGCCCCCTCAGGCAGGCTCTGTGACTCACTCTTTGGTATGATACATGCGGTCCCCGGTGCCCAGCTTGGCCGTGGTGTAGAAGAGACTCATTTCGGCCTCCGATACTTGGACTTCGCTCAGCTTCTGGAGCAGTTCGGCTCGCTGGGAAAGGCACAAGCACATCAGCTACCAGGCAGCTACTGACCGCCAACTAGGTCCCAGGCCTCATCCTGGGAGGAGGCTGGGCTTGAAGGGGGTCCCAGGCCTCATCCTGGGAGGAGGCTGGGCTTGAAGGGGGTCCCAGGCCTCATCCTGGGAAGAGGCCGGGCTTGAAGGGGGTCTCAGCTTAGTTAATGCTGGACTCTAAACTATAGGGCAGGATGAAACCCCACAGCTATGAGGTCTTCAGGACAGACAGGTTAGCTCTGCCTTCAGCCTTACAAAATCCAGGGTCAGGGGACACAGCTCTGGAGCACCGTGTGATATGACCACTGGGCTGTCCCTATGCCCAGCAACCAGACTGAATAAAGCACGGCACCCCTTGCTGACCTGGAGACAGACATGAGCACTCATTTGGCCAGTCCCTAGACTACCCACATGGCTGCATAACTCCTTTCACTCCGTGTGAGCTGTGGCAGTTTTGGCTTCACTGACTTTGACACTGTACGTTTTATACACACACCTCTTCATGGACACGTCACGATTTTTAAATCAGGCTAGCATGCTCAGAGCCTCGGGTGCCACACGTAGCTAGTGGCTATAGTGTCATTATACGGACACAAAACACTCCCCTCCTTTCAGGAAAGTTCTACAAGACATCTTTGCCGCAGAGAGTACATGGAGGGAGAGAGACGCCCTAGCCCCATGATCTGGCGAGTTCGGGCAGACCGGCCATGGCGAGGCGTACCTGGCTCTTCTTCTCCTTCTGTTCTAAGACTTTCTCTAGCACCTTCCTCTCCTTCTTCGTCAGCGGCTTCCTCTGCTTTTTGGATGGGGGCGGGGCCTTGGCCTTCTTCTTCTTCTTCCCAGGCAGCACTAGCGCATTGCTGGCATCCACTCCTTTCAACACATCCTTGTCTGAAACGACAGCCTGTGTCACTGGGGTGCAGGGGGTCACGGAGCGTCCTCGATGCTCAGTCACGACAAGGACCAAGTTAGGCCACCCCCTCCTGTAGGAGGTCTGCATCACCTGTGAATCTCTGAGTCTGCGTGTCGCAACTCTTATCTTTACCAAGCTATGATGTTCTATAAAGGCTGAGGGATGTGGTTCAGGTGGTAGGGAACCTGGCTAGCAAGCTCAGAACCCCGGGTTCCGACGCCAGTACCACATAAAACCAAGCATGGTGGCACACCTCTGCAATCACTTGACAGGGGAAGGCGAGATGACCAGTTCAAGCCGGGCGGTGGTGGCGCATGCCTTTAATCCCAGCACTCGGGAGGCAGAGGCAGGTGGATCTCTGTGAGTTCGAGGCCAGCCTGGTCTCCAAAGTGAG